CAAGACCTCTTTATGAAACTCTATAAGAAAAACAGCTGGAGCATCTGGGTCTGTCTGACACTGGACAGTCCCCTGAAGTACAACTGCAGCAACACCCGCAAACACAGCTTCAATGCTCCCTTTCAGGTGCGCAGGAAGGTTTTATTGTCCTGACGCCCCAAGGGGCTGTGGCAGAAGTATGACATCGGCTCCAAGCACACCCGCCAGGACGTTGACGTCCATGCGTACAGAACTATGTCATCGACCTCACATGCATCTCCAATGTCACACATGTGCATGTGGACATTCATCTGAGCAAGGTGGCCCTGCCTGTCCTTTGAGCTGTGTCTGAACTAGTAGCTGAGTTGCTAACCACCTCGGGCGGCCCAGGTCAACTTTTGTGAGCAAAGGAAGGCACTTTCAAATCATCCATGCCCCTGAAATGTGTATTTGTAGCCCCTAGTGCCCGGGGAAGACACTGGCACTGACAGGGACTCAGTGTGCAGGTGGCAGAGGCCGGTCCTGAGACGTTGCCCTTCCCCTGTCTGGGCCTCCCCAGCACCTCCTGACCTCGCCGAGTCCTTCTTGTTTTCTGAAGAAGGAGATCAAGGAAGCAAGGACTCACATCAATGACTAGTCAGTTCTTGGGAAGGGGAGGGCCAGCGATCACAGAGATATCGTGATCAAAGTCCTCTCACATTAGGTTGGCGGGGGGTGCCAACAGAGAAGCTGGTGGGCAGACTTTTTGATTAGGTCTTGGGCATGGTGCCAGGCTTCATAGATACCCATGGAGGGGTATTATTGACTCTTTAAATCAGAAAGACAAACATAAACCTTGTGGTCAGAGAAGCTGTTTTCATATTTCTTTATAGTGGATCTTTTTATCTCTATACTCATATTGCTATATAAGTCATACATTGAAACAGCATTTTAAAACCCCCACAGTGTGGAGTCCATTACACTGGACAGAGAAGAGCAGCCCCACAGGGTTCTCGAAGCTGTTAATCTGGAAGCACACTGACATGTCTTTCTCCTGTGGAGAAGTCGGTTTCCTACATCCAGGGTCTCCCTCTGCAGGTACTTCAACATACGCATGTATAAATTCTAATATATATGTATATGTATGCATACCCATAAATAAATGTGTAGATGTACAAACAGGCAAATACATCCAGGGTGCTTCCAAAGGTTTGTGGGAAAAGCCCATCAGCTTTATAATTCCATTTCTTCCTGAGCTTTTTGGCACACCATGCACAGAGGGGATTAGGCGGTCTGCAACCTAGGACATCTTCCAGTGATGATGCTCCACACCTGGGAGCATCAGGGATCTGGGACACTCGGCGTCAGTAGGATGTGCTAGAGACGCTTTTGGCCGCATGCCATCGGCCGCTGTCGTCCTTCTCGACTGTTCCCTGGTGGACGGTCCAGGTTAGGATCGACCGCTCAAAACACTGCAGAACTGCAGGCCGTGGATAAAACAGAACAGGTTTCCACGAAAGTCAGAAGTGACTTGCTATGGAGCGTCTTAATCAGAACCGCTTTATCAAGCAGGGAGAATCGAGTAGCTGACTATGGATTTCTCTATCAAAGGAGCAGGAGCCCAGGAAGGCAGAAGTGTCTCCGGTACACGCCACAATCATGGGGGAGCGGGAATATAAGGGAGCCCCCTCCTTGAGACCACCTGCATGGACCCAGCCACACGGAGGGAGGGAGGTGGTGCACCCTCCGCTGACACAGACATAGCTCAGGGCTTCTGACGCTAATAGTAAATATTATCTCTGACTAATCACTGAATGAATACCTCATATTCATCTACAGCTCGTTTTCCTGACCTCTATGACCGTTGATGCCAAACTGACCAAGTGGCCCTGGAGACTAGGGATCTAAAAACATGCTGTCCCTTAATCCCACAACCCTCCCTCTCTCGTCCCATTTTACCCAGGAGGAAACCAAACTCCCCGAGGCAGGAACCACTGGCCCTAACTGCGGTCACACAATGAGCACGTGTGGGAACAGCGGTGGAACAAGTGGGGGAACAAGGGCCTGTTCCAGGAGCCTCCAAATGACATCAAAGGTGTCCTCCTGCCCGAGATTTCTGGGACTTCTAAGCCATTCCTGATGACTGACATCTTGCTGTGACTCTACTCTCTGTCATGACTGTGACCATGGAAACAGAGGGATGCCATTCAAGCTCTCTTACTCATCAGCTCTTAAATCTTTAGTTCCCACCTGGAAAATGGGATCAGAATGAAGGCGGCCTTGAGAATTTACGGATGAGCCCTGGGGACACTGAACTGCTAACCAGTAAGTTACTGGTTTGCATCAACCAGCCCATTCTTCTGACCAGATGAGGCTGTCTATGTTTGTAATGATTTTAAGTCTTAGAAACCCAAGGGGGCAGTTCTACCCTGTCCTGCAGAGTCCCTAATAGTCAGAATCTACTCTGTGGCAGGGAGAGAGTGAGTGGGAGTTTACGGTGGGAGTCAAATGAGATGGGTGGGGAGGGGGAAGCTCTGAGAATGTGAAAATACCCTTCAAAGTTCCGTGGTGTGAAAGCACCAGGTCGAGGGGTGAGTATTGGGGTTTGTCATGTACTTTCCTTCATGCTCTCAAAAAACCCCAAACATCCTTTGGTAGATTTCAATGTGAACCAGTAAGCCCAGTTGTTAACAATCGCCTTCCCACTCCCGGCACCCCCTCTCGTGTCAGGATACCTGTGCTCCATCGATTGCAATTTTCAGAAGTGGATTGTGAGGCCTTTCTTAGGAGATGTCTCTCTGTGGGCTCAAATTTCTTACCTTTTGGGTAAGAATGCGAAGCCTTCCTACTGTCCGATACTGCGGAGTGGGTCCAATCCGCCAGCAGGGAGTGTTGTGAGATTCTGCGAGATGCTCTCCTGTGGACATTCCAGGCAGGAGCGCCCTGTGGAGCAGGTCCAGTTGGTCCATCATGGGGCGACATGGAAAGCCAGGGACAGACACCTGGAACCACCACCCAGGAACCCAGGAACAACATCCACAGGAGAAGGAAAGGGTCAGGTCCCACGTGTGGCCACCTTCCTCCTTTAACCTTCGTCTGAACCAGTGAGAGTTTAATGCGTGAGTGTCAGCGGTGTGAACAGAAAAGCTACATGGTCAAGGTGAGAGCACGTTGACACTGCTGATCTAGTTCAGTCTTTCCTATGGGTAACAGAAACACTGTTATCCCACAACCCTCACTGTGATGAAGCACAGGGTCCCTGGGCAGCGCCTCTCCCTGATGCTCCTTCCAGAGCTGCCGTGCCTCAGTCTGATGGAGAGGTCCAGAGCCAGGGCTCTAGACCACGTTCCCCAGGACACAGGCTCTCCTTATGGGGTCTAGATGGAGCCAAACAATATGTGCCAACGGATTGAATCCAACGGTCTTGATAATAGCATAGATGTATGATCAATTTGAAAACTCAGAATTCATACTAAGGACTCAGTTCAATACATCTAGCCTTTAGAGGACGCAATATTTCCTATTTGCACATAACCTTTGTCTTATCCATGTCAACTGTGTTATGCCCAACTGACCGAGGCTTCCCAGGACACCTGGGCTAAGCCTTTGAGGTCAGTAAGCCAATCCAGCACATTCTTGGAGTCCATCTGGAAAGGCCCCTGACGGAGTCCTCTACTGCATGAGCACCGACAGCAGGGGCTTCAACAGTTTGTGGAAAACCGGACTGAAAAGACATTGAGAATTTCCACAGAATTTGGAAGCTCCTTCATAGGAGCAGCCCACACAGGCATGTACAAGGATTTGCCCTCAGAGGCAACTCCGCATGCATGCATGTTTACTGGCATAGACCTCCCTCTACACACACGTGCACACAGGTCCACCTAGGATCCATATGCTTACTTGTGGTTGCTATCAAGTACAGTATTGAAATCGATGTGCACCTTCCATGAACGCAGCAGGACCCCTGCAGAAAGAGGGGGGCAGGATGCATGAAGGCGCCACAAGGAGGAGAGGGGTCAGGGCAGAGCAAGCCTCATTCACAGATGAGGAAGCTGACTTCAGGGATGTGGTGGCCTGATGGACCCACATGGTGGCCACACCTTCAGCATTGAGGGAGGAGCCCCGGGGTGAACAGCGCTGGGCTGGACCAGCGAGTGGCAGTCATCTGTGGATTGGTCGAGACCGGGTCTGCCCAGGCAGCAGGAGCTCTATTAATCAACGTGGAGGAGGAGATCAGGTGCAAAATCATAGGACCTCAGCCTGAGCACCGACCTCCACGAGTCCCCTGGAGCTGCCACTGGAGTTGTCCCTGTGACGATGGAGAAGACTGAGCCCCTGGACCAACCCGTTGCGATTCCTCACTGCCTTTGGATGGTAGGAGGTGGCAATGGTTGGGTGGGGGGCTCTGCAGAGAGAGTGGGAAAGACCCTCTGCACAGCCCTTCTCTTTGGTCTGATCTCCGTTCCCCACCACTGACCTGCAGGGGGAGCCGGAGTCTGTCTCTTTCCATTAAGGAGTGTACAGACATGTCTCTGTGGACAGACTTCTGATCCAATGTCGATGCAAACTGACTCCTAGCACCGTTTTGCGTTGCAACTGAACACAGTCTGACCTGCTAAGGCCACTGTGCCCTGGGCACTGGACCACTGGCACCGCTGTCGGAAGCCTCTTGTTGCTCTCAACGACCCTACAGTGCAGACAGGGCCTGCTCCACCTCTTGTACAAACAGGGAAACTGAGGCCCAGCATCTGTGCCAGGAGCCTGCAGACCTGCTGTTGTGCTGGCTGGGCTGGGAAGAGATAAGCAGAGCCCAGGGGGCTCAGGAAGAGGTGGAGTGAGGAATCTGAGCGTGTCCTTCTCAGTGGTACCTGGTGCTCCCTCAGACCAGTGATTGCCGGGGGTGATGGGCAAGGGAACACCAGCAGCATCAGCCTGAGACAGGATGAGGTCCCTGGAAAGGCTTCCTGTTGGGAGTGGATTTCTTGGGAAAACTCTAATGGAATGCTTCTATGTTGGCTTAGAACAATTTTGAGATCATCAACATGCACATGAAGTTGGGGACAACCCTGAAGATCAAGGGCAAAGTAGCCACTAATGCCAAATGGTGAGTCGGAGGGACTAAGAGTGGGGACAGAGTCTGTACCCAAGAAGGAACACGTGGGCAAAGTGGGAGGATGCAGGGCATCCCTGAGAATGAATGCCAGCATCAGGGTCTTCCGTCACGGTGGCACTGGCCAAGGGGACCATAATGTCCCCGTTTCTTCAAATGTCATTGTAAAATTGGGTTTGTGGACATTCAGAATTTCAGAGCAGAGACCACATACTCAGTTGCTTCTCCCCCGACAGCCTTTGTTGGACATTGGGTATGAAAGTAAAAGGTCCAGGGACAGCCCCGTTCCTGTGGCTTTCAGTCACATTAAGCCAGGAGTAATTATCTCACTCTGGGGCTTACAACTGTCTTCAGCTTAGCCTTTCAGCCCTCTGGAGACTCATCTCCATCAACCTCTGGTTGGACATGGGGAGGGCACGAGGATGCATGGGGTGGCTGTCCCCCACAAGGAATCTCTTGCTTCTACTTGGCGTCCATGAGATTGCAGAACTGTTGGGAAGTCTGATGTGGCTCCTTGTGACCCAGAGCACCCTGCTGCCCCCACCCTTGAAGGTCTAGCCCAGACATCTATTTTGATGCTAATAAGAAGTCACACAGCACCAAATGCATGTGTCTAGAGACAGGAGCTCAGCCCTTGGGTTGGCACCTGTTTATAGTCACAGTCAGTTATCCCACCATCAGCAGCACCGGCCCGTGCTCCCAATGGGACCTCACACCCCATGGCCACGGCAATTGGATGGTCACCTGCCTTTGTTGTACAGCACAGCCCTCCATTCGTGCAATCTCTCTGTAGACTCTTTCAGCATGTGGGAAGCCAAAGACTCCCCAATTTGTTTTACTGAGGGGGACCCCTAGACCTTCCTCAGCACCCTCTTCCTGCAGGATGGAGATTAATCTGGGCCAAAGTGCTGACAAACTGAATCTGCATTTCAACCTTGGCTTCCCGGATTCCGTCATCGTCTGCAACTCTAAGAATGGTGGCTGGGGAGAGGAGCAACGAATCTCTTGCTCTGCCCATTGGGTGAAGGTCACCGTGAGTTCAAAGAACAAGGAGCCTTGGATAGATGCCAACGTGAGTTCAAAAGACAAGGAGCCTGGGATAGATGCCAACGGGAGAGTCCACATGATAGGGGACCTGCACCTGGGCACTGTGGGAGCCGCCAGGCACTGCCCTGGCTCCTCCCGGGTAATCTTTGCCTCCCTGACTCCCTGTCTCCCCCACAGTTTGAGATCACCTATGAGAAGCAGCAGTTTACGGTGAAGCTGCCAGATAGATACGAGGTGACCTTCCCCAACAGGCTGGGCTGCGACCCCCTGCGCTACCTGAGCACGAAGGGAAACTTCAGGGTCTCTTCTGTGACGTTTGACTGAGTTCTGCGTGAGCAGCACCCACCAGAATCCATCAGCCAGCCCAGATTCCTACCAAGTCTCCCTGATGACAGGAGTCCTGGTGCCTGCTCTGCCCCACGTCCCCACTAACCCCCCTGTGAGCCTTGGCTCCCCACCCCTTCCCCAAGGCGTGAGAATAAACCAATCCATCTGCCTGGATCAAGCCGTTCTGGGGTAGGAAATGTAATCTGTGCTTTATCAGGGGATTCCGGCTCATCACCTCCTCTCCTGAAATGGGTAAACTAAGGCACAAAGTACAGGAAATCAGGCCGACAGAGCACTTGCTCTCAATCACCTGGGAGCACCTGCTTCTGTGTCACTGTGGGTTTGCAGTTCACAGGTCCCCCGCACACACACACACACACACATGCACACGCGCGCACACACGCACACACACACACACACACACACGCGCGCGCGCGCGCGCACACACATACACACGTGTGCAGAGTGGGACTGCTCTCAGTGCGCTCGAGGACGTGCCTTTGCTCTAGAACAGGGGTCCTCACACTACGGCCCAACCTTTATCTGCCCCATCGGGTGTTTTTGACCTGTTCTGTTTTTTTTACTTAATAAGAATTTGTTCATAGTTCTTTTTTTAAACTATCATCTGGTCCTCCCACGGTCTGAGGGACAGTGAACTGGCCTCGTTTAAAAAGTATGAGGACCCCTGCTCTAGAACACAGGTTCTCAACCTGTGGGTCCAGAGCCCTTTGGGGGTCAAACAACCCTTTCACAGGGGTCGCCCGATTTATCACAGGGGTAAAATGACACTGATGAAGTAGCAAAGAAAATAATGTTGTAGTTGGGGGGTCACCACCACATGAGGAAGTGTATGAAAGGGCCGCAGCCTCAGGAAGGTGGAGAACCCCTGCCCTAGAGCCGACCGTCCTCAGTCCTTGGTTTGTGGCCGGCTGGGGTCTAAGCTGGAGCCCTATGTCCTCTGAGCGTCTGATGTAAGCTCTGACCCAGGACCGTCAAGAGCCTGGCTCTGTTAGGCCGGCCAGGGAAAGGGGAGAGTCTGCAGAAAGATGCTCACCCAATGAGACCGCAACTTGCCTGCGCTTCCTGCCAAGAGCCGACTCACAGGCGGACTGAGGGAAGGAAAAGGGTCGGGTCCTGCTGCACTGACTCAGATCCCATGATCAGGGCCACAGGGGCAGGTAATCAGAACATCATAGCCAGCCCCACACCCCGTGTGGGACTAAAATCACACTCTTATCACAGACATGGTCCTTTCCCAACTTCTGGGGTCACTACTGGGACCGTGGGGAGTTCAGCAGCCACCAGTCATGACCTTGTGATGATTTTCTCTGCACCCCCTCTGGCCAATCAAAACAAACCACCCCTCGGTTGTTTTCCTGATAAATAACATAGAAGGACCAGCTTTTCCGTCAGTCTTGCATCCATCAGCCTCTGTGATGGGGGCATGCCGATGGTCCCTCCGGCGGCACGGTTCTCTTTGTCCTGTTTCAGATGTCATCAGAGAGCCTCTAGGGAATTTCATCTGGATCCGGGCTCTGGTTCTGCTAGCACACCTTTGGGAGGGGACAGCCAGGCCTCTGCTCTGAGCTGCCTCTGGGAGGGTTTGAACCATCAGCTGTGGGCTGATAACCAAGCATTAAGCATGTGCACTGAGTGGCAGTGAGGGAAGGGCCTCAGCCCAGCAGGGCTTCTTGGGAACCCCCAGCCCAGGAGAAGCTGCCCCTCTGCTCTTCCACACAGATCTCTCCTGAGAGGGGTGTAGACCCCGTGTAGACCAGGAAGCACCTGCTTCTTCATGGGGGGCAGAGGTCAAGGGGCAGGAGGCACCAGGCACTCCCACCTTGACCTCGTTCTCTTCCGCATCATCAGCAAGCACAAAGGTGTTTGTTTAGAGTGGGTTGGGCTGGGGGCCTAGCTGCTCACCTGGGAAGGGCTCCAGTCTTCTTCCAGATTTTACCAGAAAGTTCTTGCCTGAGACTTCTGCTAGAAGACCTCTGCCAGCCCCTACCAGGCATCCACCTCAGTGTGCTGGTAGCTGTACCCCTCCCCAGCCTGCTCCCCAAGGCCTGCAGGGGCCCATGTCATTAGGGACTTGTGGACCTTCTCCTGCTGACCTAGACCCTAACTTCTTGGGCCTCACTACAAGGTACTGCTATGTCTTACAGGAATCTTATGTAGGATGGGGGAAACCAAAAATGCCAAAATGAACATGTAATTATTACATGCTCCACCCCTACCTCATAGCACCTGGGACACCCCAGCCCGGATGTGACGACCCACGCTCAGTGCCCACAAGCACAGCCCCCTTCTGGTCTACTGTTGGCACAGCCTGGCACTCCCCACACAGGTAGGAAGGACCACGCTGTGTTGTGTTTGGGGACTACTGGTGTTCTGGACAGACTCCTGTAAGGCACGTGATGGGCTGGAGAGACATGCAGGTTCCAAGGCCACACCGCAGGCAGCATGGGGCAGGGCCTGTGTGTGTAACAAGTCTCTGAGAGATCAGAAGCACAGCTAGAACCACGACCTGTGGGATACAGAAAGATTTCTGCCAGTTGTCTCCCCCAAATATACGCCAAACCCAAATGATGCTAGCTAAACACGGACAATGACTGTCCACTAGGAGGTCAATGAAAGTAGGTCAGAGATGATGCTCCTTAAGGATATCAGCAACCAGTCTAGAGCAACCAGACTGTAGAGTCTGATTCACCCTGAGTTGGGCCACTCCCTTCTGATAGTGTTCCCTTGAAGGAGAGCCCGAAGGCAAGTTCAGGACCACTTAAGGAAGACTAATCCTAGGCTACTACATTGAGTCTAGGGTGCACCCATCTTGCCACATATGCACCCCTATTCCCTCCCTTTACTATTGCATGTATACATCTAGGTCATCCTCATCTTATTGCTTCTATTGCCTATATTACAACAGCTTCCCATTTTCCAGATTGTTACTTGTAATCAGGGGGCTTTCATGCCCCCAAAGATATATAAGCTTTGGCTAGAAATAAAACCTCATGGTCTCTCTCCTACCCACTCATCCCACACCTGCACATGTACCACCAAGAGGAGCTGAGGTGAGCATGCTACCATGAAATGTGTCCGACTTCTTTATTTTTCTCTCTCCCATTTCTCTATGACTTTACTATAATCTATATATATCTCAACCGTACAATTGTGCCTGCTGAACCCGTGATTAGTTGTGGGGTCAGGCTACCCCCACGATGCCCCTCCAAACTAGAAGACCCTTGAGATGTTTTACATATGGCAGGTTCAACGGTGCAGGTGGACCATCCTTGATAATACTCGGGCAGGAGATCTGTACACTCATATGACACATTAGCTACATCATTCATTATACCTGGATTGTGAATAGTCCCAAATCCTTTTATTGCTTTCCAACGGAAATATTCCACTTCATTGTCACGTTTCCAGGATTCCTGTCAATCCTGAGAGGCGATTTTCATTGCTGCCACCTGTAAAACTCTACAATAGACTTGTACTGTAATGCCTCAATATTTTACTGAATGCTCCAGCTATTTCTCTCCTATTATCCACATAGCTTATTTATAGACCAGGCAATATAAAAATAAACTTGAATTACTGCAATGTATCAATGCGTGTTTTAGGCCAGGCTGACTACAGAAAGACACCCAATGACCCTCCAAACATCCCAGCCTAGTCCACAAGTCCAGTCTTATACTGGTCCATAAATCTCTCTTCAGACTCACGCAGCCACACGCAACGACGCAGGATGCAGACGCTCACAGCCAGTGGGTGCGGAGTGACATGGATTCACTGGCGCTGTCCCTGCCAGCTCTCAGAGTGACTCAGGATCAGGAAGGTGAAGCGGAAAGAGAGGGGGAGGTGCCCAGGGCTCTCCTTAGGAGGAGGTCACACCCACAACAGGCATCCTCAGGCTGTGACCTGATTTGACAGTTAGAATCCACACCTACACTTCAAGTTGACGGCAAATGAGGTCACTACCACAGACCACCTGGCATCGCAGAGGGTGTCAAACCCTGACAGCTGACTTGTGAGAGGCTGGGAGGGGCTCTCCTGTGCACATTCCAGCCAGGACGCCCTATGGAGCAGTTCCAGTCAGTCCCTCATGGGGGCGCCATGGAGAGCCAGATACAAGACACCTAGCACCACCACCCAGGGACCCAGGAAAAACATCCACACTGAGAAGGGTTCGTGTCCCACCTGTGGCCACCTTCCTCCTTTCACCTTCGTCTGAACCAGAGAGCTTTCAATGAGCGAGTATCCAGTGTCATCAGGACAAGGTGACGTGGTAAAGGTGAGCGCACACGGACACTCCTGATCTAAGTTGGTCTCTCCCGTGTCCAGCAGAAAGACCCAGAGAGATTCCTTCTCTTAGGAGGAAGCTAAGGAACGACTCCCTTGGGAAGGGATCTGAATTTGGAAGAATGGACCCAGGAAGTGACCCCCTGGCACCCGTCCCCATGCTTAGGGTCACAGAGCTCACGCAGTTGAACAGGAGATCCGCTCACAGTGTGCCGCTCACGGGGATCTGTACTCGCCCTCACCCCACACACGACCGTGTCTGCAGTGCTGTGTCACTGCACACCTGGTGATGTGATCGGTGCAATCGCCTTCTCCTCCCACAATGAGGGACAAGCTCATTTTCTGTGTCCCCAGGCTTTTCTTTTCCTGCCTTTTGTTTGTTTGTTTGTATTTTGTTGTCTGCTGGTTGCCTGGCTGCTGTTATTGGGGTAGCTGGTCGTATGGGCTCTTGATCCTGTCATAAGGCTGACACAGTAACCCAGAGTCATGCACAGCCCAGGGACAAAGAGATGGATTCTGGGCCCCCGTTGAACTCTAGCCTCAGTCCAAAAACAGTTAGTTCTGTCTGATAACGTGACCCTGCTCGATGTGCACCTTCGTGAAATGATCGCTGACGATAAGGGCGCTCCAGCGAAGTGTGCTGAAGGAAGCAGATGGTACCCTGCTGTCAATTGGAATGGTGTCTGGGTCTTAAAGGCTTGTATTCAAACAAGCAGCCATCTAAGTGAGGAGTCAACTAAGCCCACATGGAAGAAGCACAGCAGCTCGTATGATCCAAAGATGACAATAACAAAAGTCAAACATGACAAAGGAAAACTATCCGAGCCTCAATTGGGAAGACCCAATTTGTGGAGGACAGTGGGAGCCCTGAACTGAGTTGCGTAGTGAGATCGAGCTGTTGGCAGCTCCCCTCTAGCCATACACAAGGGTCTTAAACTGCTTTCCTGTCAGATAGAGATCGTGGTAATCATGATTATACTGGATTGAACTTGATACTGGGTCAGCTGACTTCCTCCTGATCCAACCTGAAATGGTTCTAGGTACAAGTATTTCCTGCTGGTTCTTCATTGCTTGCAGGACACACACTTCTTCCCTGGTCTTTTACACACTGTGGAGGTCTTTTCTTGTTTACTATTTGTATTTTTCTCTTTGTATTGTTATTTTATCCTTACCACTTTTTTTGTATCTGTTTTGTATTGCTTCTGTCGGGTGTTCCAGTTTGTGAGGCACAGAAAGAGGAGCTGCAGAGAGATAATAACGGATGCAAGCATTTAGAGGAGAGGTGCGGGTGCGGGTGGAAGACAGGGAGGGTGAGGGGTTTGGGGAACAAACAATGTATGGGGGAGGGGGGGAGCACTCGAACTGCTGGTGAGGACACAGCTAATTTTAAAAGCAATTTAACCATGTCAGAGAGAAAGTATTCTAAAGCGGATTTGGTAATGATTATATACTTTCTGGTATGAACTATTAAATTACATGATCTGTGGATTATTTGCCAATTAAATGGTAAAAAAAAAAGTAGCAAAACAGAGACTTGACCTCTATTTGGAGGCTATGGGGACATATACCACTATTGCAAGTGACAGCAGGGCACGGGGTCCCTGGGAAGCTCCTCTTCCTGACCCTCCTTCCAGAGCTGCCGTCTGATGGAGAAGCCCAGGTCTAGGGCCCTATACCACGCTGCCCAGGACATGGGCTCTCCATACGTGGTCCGGAAGTAGCCAAACTAGACGTGCCAAGAGATTGAATCCAACAGTCTTGATAATAGCATAGATGTATGATCGATTTTAAAACTCAGAATTCATACTAAGGACCCAGCAAAAGGAAGTGAGTTGACTGCATCTAGCCTTTAGAGGATGCAATATTTCCTATTTGCAAATAACCCTTTGCCTTATCCGTGTCAACTGTCTTATGCCAAACTGACCAAGGCTTCCCAGGAGACACGGGCCAACACTTTGCGGCCAGTAAGCCAATCCAGCACATTCTTAGAGTCAATCTGGAAAGGCCCCTGACAAAGCCCTCTACTGCATGAGCACCTACAGCACAGGCTTCAATAGTTTGTGGGAAACCGGACTGAAAAGACATTGAGAATTTCCACAGATTTTGGAAGCTCCTTCATAGGAGGAGCCCACACAGGCATGTACAAGGATTTGCCCTCAGAGGCAACTCTGCATGCATGCGTGTTTACTGGCATAGGCCTCCCTCTACACACACACATGTCCACCTAGTTTCCATATGCCTACTTGTGGTTGCTATCAAGTACAGTTTTGAAATCGATGTGCACCTTCCATGAGCGCAGCAGGACCCCTGCAGAAAGAGGGCCTGGACAATGTGTGAGGCAGGATGCATGAAGGAGCCACAAGGAGAGGGGTCAGGGCAGAGCAAGCCTCATTGACAGACAAGGAAGCTGGCCTCAGGGAGGTAGTTGGCCTCATGGACCCACACGGTGGCCACACCTGCAGCCTTGAGGGAGGACGCCCCAGGGTGAGCTGGGCTGGGCTGGACCAGGGAGGGGCAGTCATTTGTGCATGTGAGTGTGGATTGGTGGAGACAGGGTCCGCTCAGGCAGCAGGAGCTCTATTTACACCGTTGGAGGAGGAGATCATATGCAAGCTCATAGGACCTCAGCCTCACTGGAAGGTGTGTCCCTGAGCACCGATCTCCACAATCCCGGAGCTGCCACTGGAGTCGTCGCTATGATGGTGAGGAAGGTTGAGCCCCACTGCCTACCCTCTGGGAGTCATCCTCACCTTTGGTGGGAGGAGGCGGCAATAGTTGGGGTGGAGGGCTCTGCAGAGAGAGGAGGTGGGAAAGACCCTCTGCACAGCCCTTCTCTTTGGACTGGTCTCCGTTCCCCACCACTGAACTGCAGGGGGAGCCGGAAGCCGTCTCTTTCCCTTAAGGAGTGTACAGACATCCAACTGTGGACAGACTTCTGATCCAATTTCTATGCAAACTGACTCCTAGCACAGTTTTGCCTAGCAACTGTACATGGCCTGATCTGCTAAGGGCACTGTGCCTTGGGCACTGGAACACTGGCACCTGCTGTCGGAAGCCTCTTGTTGCTCTCAACTACCCTACAGTGCAGGCAGGGCCTGCTCCACCTATTGTACAGACAGGCAAACTGAGGCCCAGCAGCTGTGCCAGGACCCTGTAGACCCCGCTGTTGTGCTGGGAGGAGACAAGCAGAGCCCAGGGGACTCAGGAAGAGGTGGGGTCAGGACTCTGGGTTTGTCCTTCCAAGTGGTACCTGGTGCCCCCTCAGGCCAGTGACTGCTGCTGGTGATGGGTAAGGGGACACCAGCAGCATCAGCCCGAGACAGGATGAGGTCCCTGGAAAGGCTTCCTGGGTGGGGGTGGATTTCTTGGGAAAACTCTAATGGAATGTTTCTCTGTTGTCTCAGGACAATTTTGAGATCACCAACATGCACATGACATTGGGGACAACCCTGAAGATCAAGGGCAGAATAGGCAATGAGGCTGATAGGTGAGTTGGGTGCAACTAAGAGTAGGGACAGAGCCTGTAACAGGACAGAACACGTGGGGAAGGTGGGAGTAGGCAGCGTAGCCCCATGAATGAATGGCAGCCTACTGTGAGAGGGACCCTGACAAAGGGGGCCATGGCCCCTGCTTCTTCTCATGTCATTAGGAAGCCTCGTTCGGGGACCTTCAGAATGTCAGAGCAGATACCACATACTCAGTTCCTTGTCCCCGAACAGCCCTTGTGGGGCATGAGTTCTGTAAGCAAAGCCCTGACCCCCTGACTGGTTGGACCCAGGCCACATTAAGCCCACATCAGCTACCAGGAGCAATTATCTACTCTCCGGGTTATAGCCCCACTTTAGGCTCAGCCTTTCAGCATCTCAGTGCTCCTTCCCACCAACCTCTGGTTGGGTATGGGCACAGCAGGCAGATTCCCGGACTAGCAGCCCCCAGAAGTGATCTCTCTTGCTTTTTCTTGGCTTCCATGAGATTGCAGAACTGTTGGGTTCTTTGATGTGGCCCTGCATGACCCAGAGCAGCTCTGCTGTCCCGACTTTGAAGGTCTATCCCAGAAATCTATAGTGATGCTAACAAGAGGTCACACAGCACCAAATGCATGGGTGTAGTGACAGGAGCTCAGCCCTCGGGTTGGCACCTGTTTATAGTCGGACTTCCAGGGTCTTAGGAGATCTAAAGACAGGATAGACACCTCCATTTTAATATGGTCACACTCAGTTACCCCGCAGACAGCAGCTCTGGCCTGTGCTCCCAATAGGACCTCACACCCCATGGGCATGGCAATTGGATGGTCACCTGCCTTTCTTTTACAACACAGCCCTCCCCATTCATGCAATCTCTCTCTGTAGACTCTTCCAGCGGGTGGTCAAGCAAAACACCCCCAAGTTGTTTTACTGAAGGGGACCGCTCTTAACACCCCTCTTCCTGCAGGATCGAGATTAATCTGGGCCAAAGGGCTGACAAACTGAATCTGCATTTCAACCCTCGCTTCACGGAGTCCACCATCGTCTGCAACTCTAAGGATGGTGGCTGGGGGGAGGAGCAACAAACAGACCTCCACCGCTTTGGCCCAGGGTCAGAGGTCAAGGTGAGCTCAAAGAACACGGAGCCTGGCATGGATGCCAAAGGGAGAGATCAAATGATAGGGGACCCTCACCTGGGCACTGTGGGAGCCGCCAGGCACAGCCCTGGCTCTTCTTTGGTAACCCTTGCCTCTCTGACACCCTTTGCTCCCACCCACAGTTCAAGATCACCTATGAGACTGACCAGTTTACGGTGAAGCTGCCAGATGGAGACAAGCTGACCTTCCCCAACAGGCTGGGCTGATGCCCCCTGGAATACCTGCAGATGAAGGGCCAGTTCAGGGTTTCTTCTGTGAAGTTTGACTGAGTCCTCAGTGACCAGCACCACCAGAATCCATCAGCCAGCCCAGATTCCTACCAAGTCTCCCTGATCACAGGAGCCCTGGTGCCTGCTCTGCCCCACATCCCCACTAACTCCCTAAGAGCCCCGCCTACCCACCCCTACTCCAGGGGGTGAGAATAAAATGATCCATCTGCCTGGATCAAGCCTATCTGGGGTAGGAAATGTAGTCCGTGCTTTGTCAGGGGTTCCGGACATCACCTCCTCTCCTGGAACAGGAGGCACAAACTACAGGAAATCAGGTCAACAGAGCGCTTGCTCTCACGCACCTGGGAGCACCTGCTTCTGTGTCACTGTAGATTTCCAGTTCACAGCCCCCTACCCCACACGCGTGCCGAGTGGGACTGCTCTCAGTGTACTCAAGGACATGCCTTTGCTCTAGAGCAGTGGTTCTCAACCTTCCTAATGCTGCGACCCTTTCATAGTTCCTCATGTGGTGGTGACCCCCCAACCACAAAAGTATTTTCGCTGCTACTTCATCACTGTCATTTTGCTGTTATGAATCGTCATGTAAATATCTGATATGCACGATGTATTTCATTGTTACAAATGGAACCTAATTAAAGCATAGTGATTCATCACAAAACAATATGTCATTATATATTGTGAAATATGTATTTCTAATGACAAATAAATGAAATTTTGTCTTGAAGCATGGTGTAGCATGAGTAACAAAGTCTTTATGATGGGTACTCGTAGGTGGGCGGACCCACCTGGAGACGGACACAGGAGCGGTGTCTCAGTTCCTAAGACCACGGGAAATATGCATGTTCCGATGGTCTTAGGCGACCCCTGTGAAAAGTCATTCGACCCCCAAAGGGATGGCGACCCACAGGTTGAGAACCGCTGCTCTAGAGCCTAAATTCTCCAGTCCTTGGATTGTGGCAGGCTGGGGTCTAAGCAGGAGCCCTCACCCTTTGTAGAATCCTGCCCTAAATTCAGACCCCGTGGGAGTGCCACAATGAGGCTCCCCTGAGACCCAGCCCAGGAAAGGCTGTGTGTGGACGCAGATGGAAGCGTCTGCAGACAGATCCTCACCCTAAGAAGGAAGGGAACTTGCCTGGTTTTTCCTGCAAAGAGCTAACCACACACAGGCCATCTGATTGAAGGCAAAGGGTCAGGCCCTGCTGACTATGACGCAGGCTCCCATGATCAGGATCACAGCCCATGAACCACATCAGAAACTCCTACCGTGCACGTCTTAGGGAGCATACGCCAATCCTGGTCCTTGCCCCCATTATGTGGCCACTCTGGGCCCAGTGATGAGCTGACCTGACACCACTTGTGATCTTGTGATGACTCTCTGTCCTCTTTGGCTGTCAGAACAGCGCGTCTGTGAGTCGTGGATCCATCGCCCTCTGTGACGGGTGCATGCTGACTGTCCCATCATCCGGCACAGTTCTCTTTGTCCTGCTTCAGATGGGATCAAAAAGCCTCCAGGGAGGTCTGGCTTTCCTAGCACACCTTTGGGAGGGGATCACCAGGCCTCTTCTCTGTCTCTGGGTGGGTTTGAACCATCAACTGTTGACTAGTAACCAAGCATGAAGCATGAGTACTGAGCGGCAGTGAGGGAAGGGTCTCAGCCCAGCAGGGCTTCTTGGGAACCCCCAGCTCAAGAGAAGCCGGCCCCCTTTGCCCTCCCTCCCATGATAGTCCAGCCAAGGAGGTGTGGAGACAGTGTGGATTCTCCTCATCTCTCACTTGGAAACTCTTGTCTCTTCATGAACTTGGAGGTGGGGGTGGCGGGTGTCCAGGAACTCCCACCTTGACCTTGTAATCTTCCTCATCAGCAGCAAACACAAAGGTGCTTGTTTAGAGTGGGTTGGGCTGGGGGCCTAGCTGCTCACCTGGTGGGGGGGGGGGGGGGGTCCCAGTCTTCCTTCAGGTTTTACTAGAAAGTCCTTGCCTGAGACTTCTGTTGGAAGACCTCTGCCAGCCCCTACCAGGCATCCACCTCAGTGTGCTCCCTAATGCCTCGTGGTAGTGACATAATCTGTTGTCAATTTGAAAAGACTTATGAGTGAAGGGGTGGAGTTTAGCCTGTCTGTAAACCAGGTTATAGCCAATGAGGCCTGTGTGGGCAAGGCTTTCTCCTGAGGATTCTGGGAACTCTTGTATTTCCTCCTTGGAGGTGGGACACTCTGTGCTGTCTCTGTGCTCACTTCCTATGAGACATCTCTGTTAAGAAGACCATGGAAAGAGGCTGATGGAGCCAGACCTCGGGAGCTGGAGAAGCCAACGTGGAGACCCCTGCCAGTGCTGAGATGCTTACACCACTGGATCCACAAGACTTCCCACCCACTGGCCTATGATCTTCCTGCATACTGGCATCAGTGCATGTGTTTCGTGAGTCTGAAGAGGACTTTATAGATTGGTATTGGACATATGGACTAATACTGGACTTATGGACTTGATCTGGACTGGGCTGGGATATTTTCTCAATACTCAATTGCTCTTGTAAATAAACCTCTGTGAGTGTCCATGAATTTGTTTCTCTAGTCTACCTGGACTCACACATGCCTGCCAGGGGCCATGTCATCGGGTGCCCATGGACCTTCTAGTTCTGGACTGGGTCTTGACTCAGTTCCTGGGCCTTACCACAGACCTCTGGCATGTCATATGAATTTATAGGATTCTTATATTTGAAGTGGAAAGCCTAATATACTAAACAGGAACATATAAGTATTAAATAAACAGTGATTCCATCCTTACCTAATCCCAGCTTGGAGACCCATATATCAGTGCGTGACCCACACTTGGGGCCACAGGCAGTGCCCTCCCTGTCCCCCCCACCCCCACCCAGTTCTTCTTTTGGCACAGCCAGGTGTTCACCCACACCTGTAGGAAGGACCCTGCTGTCTTGTGTTGGGGAGCACTGGTGGGCTGGGCCTATTTCTGCAAGGCACCTGGTGACTGGAGGGTGAGGGAGATTCCCAGACCACATGGAAGGCATTTTGTTTCAGGAAGCATGGGGCAGGGCCCTGTTTGAGTAACAAGCCTCTGTAATCAGAAGCACATCTAGAGTGAGGGCCCCTGGGCTAGGTGACCCTTGAGGGTGCCTGGCAGGGTGGAACACCTTTGAGCACAATAGGCCCTGGAGAGTTATACAGGAGTATGCCACATTAACTGCATCACCATACCTAGAAAATCAGTTGTCCCAAGGCCTCTGATTCCTTTTCATGTCTCCCCCGAATGTTACACTTTGCTTTCACTTGTCCAGGACGCCAGTCTCTCCCGAGAGCCAATTTTGTTTGCGGTCACCTAGAAAAATAAACAATTTGCCTGTCCTGGAATGCCTCAGTGTTTGACGGAATCCCCCAGCTATTTCTCTCAAATTATTCACAGGGGTTATTTACACAACGGGCAATTTCAAATGAAATTTAAATTAATATGTTCATGATTTTTTTTTAAGACTAGTCATGTGCAGTAGTGAGGGGGGTAAAGAAATAGGTCAACCAATAATTGACTGTAAGCAATCATTGTGATATCTCTCTACCTTTGGACCACCCTGTGTTCATGATTTACTCGTATGCTTATAACCCCAGCAGCCCCGAATTGAAGACAGCATCGTCTTACTAAAACATTGATATTGGACACATGAGGTTCCCAGATAAAAACGACCATATGTTGAGCTTTCTGCTAAGTTCTTAGGTCATTTGATTTCTGCAGGAAACCCTTCTACTGATCTTCAGTGCATTGGAGCTCTGTTTAGGATTCTTTTTTTTATTTTTTTATTTAACATTTTATTAGGGGCTCGTACAACTGTTATCCCAATCCATACACACATCAATTGTGTAAAGTACATTTGTACAGCGTTTCTCAAAACATTTTCTCTCCATTTAAACCCCCGACATTAGGTCCTCATTTTTCCCCTCCCTCCCCACTCCCCCCTCCCACATGAGCCCTTGAAAGTTTATAAATGGGTATTTTGTCATATCCTGTTTAGGTTTCTTATCACCCAAACTAAGAAGCAATCACATGGTTTCGAGGGCTTTGCATCGACTGCAGACCTAGGAGCCCTGATTTTCTCTTGTTCGTCCAATCCCTCACGCATATGTGAGACCCTCCAAACAGATCGTTTCCAAATTGCCCTGTGGGATCAGGAGCCTTCATCTAACTAAAAAGAGCTCTGGGAAACACGCCTGCGTCTGTTGTTGTGTTGTTCGCTGATGTCAACTTGGTTCTGCCCACCACGGACCTATGCATGACAAAGTGCACCTCTGCCCTGCCCTGTGCTGTCCTCACAACTGTTCTATGTCTGAGCTCATTTGGGGGCCACTCTGTCAGCACATCTTGTTGAGGGGCTTCCTGTTTGCCTTTTATTGTGTTTGGTTTTCCTACCCTCTATTTTACCACGGAGGATGTCTTTCTCCGGGGACTGCTCTCTCCTCACAATATGTCCAAAGCACCAGAGGTGAAACGTCACCACCACGGCTTTGAAGGAGCATTCTGGCTGTACTTCTTCTGAAACAGAGCTGTCTGTTCTTTTTGGTAGTCTGTGGTACTGTCGACATTCTTTTTGAGCACCGTAGTTCAAGTGCATTGATTCCTTCTTGGTCTTTTGTTATTCAATGTCCAACTTTCCCATGCGTAGAGGCCACGGATAACTCTATGGCTGGGGCTGGGGAGCATCTTAATCTTCAAAACAACATCCTTGCTTTTCAACGCCTGAAAGAGGTCTTGTGTGGCGTTTGTCACGCAATGCAATCAGTGCATCATATGATGTCTTGACTGTTTCTGGGAAGATGAGCGTTGTGGGTCCAAGCAAGACAAACTCCTCAGCAACTTCAGTCTTCTCTGCTTTTACTGGGCTTTGCTCCCACGGCCCGTGTGGAGAGCTTTGTTTTCTTCACCCTGAGTTGTGGTCTGCCCTGAAGGCTGCAGTTCCTGGTCCTCATCAGTAAGTGCTTCAAGTCCAGTTCACTGTCAGCAAGCTCAGGCTCTGTCATCTGCACGGGACAGCTTGTCAATAAGCCATCTTCTGATACTGATACCCCTTCTACCAAAGGTCTCTGGTGGGTTCAAACTAGCTGATCAAACCTTTAACCACATGGCAACACAGTATTTACATGCTCCCGACCCCTCATGTGGTGTGAGGTACAAAGACACGGATAGAAGAGCCATTCCACGTCATCTTACGACACCACAGGCAGACAATATGGCATGTCGCTAACTCAAGGCCAAAAACCCAGAGGCCCGGTGATGAGCCAGGTGCAGGATCTAGACCCAGGAAAAAGCCAAAGTAACTTCTTCAGAGTGTCCACTGAGAGTGGAAGCAGCCCAAACCTTGAGTGACTTGTCCTTCGGGTGATTGGCTGCTTGCAGCAGAACCCATCACGGAAGGGATTACATTATGGGGAAGACTAAGTCTTAACTGCCAAGCCACTGACAACCCTAGCTCAGCCGAGTGGACACACAACGATCACAGCTGCTGTCCGGGTGATTCCCTGTGTTGGGGAACCCAGGCATGCAGAGTTGAACCGCCCCAGAAGGTTGTCAAGGCTCTGAAATAGTGGCAGCAGATTGTCACATGCCTTCTGAGGTTCTCCCTGGATCAGTTCAAACTGCCCATCTTTTAAGTAGTAGTTGGGTGTTTCATAGTTTGTATCATCCCAGATTAAGTTTGTGAAGAAAAATAAAAACTATTCGAAAGGCTCCTAAGTAGTTAAGTACCATGTATACTCACATATAAGCCAAAAATTTCAGCACATTTTTAATGCAGTTTTTGTGGTACAACTAGGTGCCTCAGCTGATATTCAGGTTGGCTTATACTCGAGTATATATGGTATCTATCCCGAGCTACCTTTCACAAGTGAAGCACCTGAGACCCAGAGAGTCAACCACTCAGCCTGCAGGCATGGGAGCCAGGATTTGAGACTGGGTGCATGCGATGCTAAAGGCCTGATAATGTCGGATCTCCTGATCTCCTTAACTCCTGCCTGATTTCTAAAGAAGAGGATGGGGTAACACCAAAGGGAATCAGGGCCATCGATCTGTTAGTGCTTTGGATGGAAAAGACGTGAAAGCTGATAGTCAGGGATGATGGTGACGCAGTGACCAGCCTCCTCTGCCACCAGCTGCCAGTGGGGTCAACAGTGGGCAGAATGTGGAGCACAGCTTCTCCACTGGGCACTGCGCGCAGCGACAGGACACCTTTGCTGTCCCCGGAGAGGTCTTATCTTCTTTTCAAATCAGGAAGGGAAAGTAGATATGTGTAGATTAAAGAAATTATTTTATTTTTATACCAAGAGTTTTAATAAAAGAATACCAGTGTGTGCATGTGTGTGTGTATGTGTATATATATATGGCTTTAAAAATTCAAGGGAAAATGGAAATAAAAGAGAATGAAAACTTTCCCCAAACTTTTTTCAAGCCCCCTCATCTATACATGATAAAAAAAAAAAACCAAACATACAATAACAACAACAAAACTACTGCCGTAGAATCAACTTCAGGCCTTGGCATTCCTTCAGGACAGAGCAGTGAGCTAGCTCTGTGTAGTGAGCTGTACATTGGATTGCGAACCCCAGATCTGCACTTTGAACCCACTAGCCACTCCACAGAGCAAGATGAGGCTTTTTACTCCTGTACAGAGCTACAGTCTCAGACACCCACAAGGGCAGTCAGTTCTCCTCTCTCCTATGGGGCCCTTTGTGTGGGACCCCACTCACTGGCAGCAAGTAGTCTTTACAAAACGTGTCTGCTAGACTCAGACTGGTTGCCCAAACATTTTGGTTAGCAGGTGAATGCTTTAATCACTGGGCCATCCTGTATGTATATATATATATATGAAAATATTATTTTATAATTATTTGGGTATAAAGATGAATATATTAATATTAGACCGGAAATAGTCTCTTTGACCTTGACATTTATTTGTATGTACTTTAAACCAGCCCTCCACCTGATTCCAATTCATGGGGTCCACCTGGTTCCCAACGTCTGCACCACGAAGGTTAGCTTCCCCCATCGAATAAAAGGGCAGTATATGTCCTGACAAGTGTGGGACTACGCTCAGGTGACTTGGCTCCACAGAGATGTAACCTAGAGCACCCAGAGCGGACCAAGAGGAAGCATATAGACACGGACACTGAGGGTGGATCAATGGAAACCCCATGGTTGCGGGTTCGAGCAAATGACCACTACAATGTCTAATTAGAATTATGTGAAGTCTATTTTTAATCAGACTAGCGCGGGCTGCAGTGGGGGATGTTCAAAGACCTATCCACTACACTGCAGTGCCTGTCTTCCCTGGCCAAGCCTCTCATATTATTCTGAGAGGGCAGAAGACAGAAATCAGAAGAAAAAGCAAGCTAGAATTCACGTATGACTAAGCAAGCGGTATTGACAGAAGTAAGACAAAAGTATATTTAGGTACAGTCTCAGGCGCCTTGTTTTATGATCCTTTTCCTGGATTTGCCCCTCCTCCCCCCCCCCCCCCTGGGGGAGGGGGTGGAGGGTGAACACGCCTGTCCCCCCTGTCCCCGGGAGAAAGACTTGCGGCTTCTCTAGATAAGGAGAGAGAGGTAGTTTAAACAAGAATTGCCCTAAGGGCCCTTACAGACCTGCATTCCACTGTGACATGAGAACAGATGCCCTCGGGCCAAGCAGAGGCCGGTCAGTTGGTCAGAAGGGGCAGGAGGATGGCCGTCAAGGAAAAGTGTTCTCTCGACAGTTCTGCGTCAACGTGGTCACGTGAGCTTGTCTATTTCACCCACGGGATGCTCCACCTCCTTGTGCGTCACCCAGCTTCCGGGAAAATGGCAGGTCGCTGTCTTTTCGGAGGCGTTTGGAGTTCACTTCCGGTGCGGGGTGCGTACTTCCGCCCTGCGGTGGAACGTGGTCTCTTAAAGGCCAATGACGCGCGCGTTGGTCGCTGGGCCAAGGACGGTCAAGAGCAAGACGGGGTTTGCCACGTGCTTACAGAGGTCCAGACCTTCTCTGGGCCCTTTGGACGCACTGGTTCATCGGTTCCCAACCACAAACCTCGTAGTCAGCGCGTCTGTGCGCGCAGCCCAGCTGGAAGCTTACGACAACCTCTGCTTCCTTTTGCCACTTGGTCCCCTTTGCGTTGGCATCCATTGTGACGTCGTGGCATGGCAGAGATGTCTTAGACAATGTCACGTGGGAAGCCTAAGGAGGAGTGACGACACAGGTGGCCTGTGTCTTCTGCAGCTGGGGCTGGGAGGAAGAGATCGCGAAGGAAGGTTCTCTGGAGGTGTTACTTCGCCGAAAGCTAGTAGGCAATTTCCAGGTCGTGCAAACGGATGCACTTGCTGTAGTAGTAGTACTACGACTACTAATAGAAAAGGTATTCCAGCGGGAGGGAACCAGACTGCCAGGGCTCACAGGGGAGGCAGAGTAAGTTGAGTTCTGGGAATGCTGAAAGCATGTCATTGCTGCTCCCGAGGGAGTTTTTAGGAAAGAGGGTCTGAAATTAGGCAGGCACAAGATGACACCAACAGAGGCAGTGGTGACTCAGCGGTAGAATTCTTTCCTTGCTTGAAGACCTGGGTTCGGTTCCTGGCCATTACATTTCATGTGCTGGTGTGACATTGAACGGGTTTCAGCAGAGCTTCCAGACTGGGTTTCGAACAAGACTTGTGAGCAGGACTGCAGGTCATTTAAATTTCTTTCTCGGTCACTTGATAAGATTGAGAAGGAGTCATCAATTGGGAAGTAGATGTCAAGATAAATAATTATAGAATTCTTCTCCCCACTCCCAACCGGCTTCAAGAGCTAGTGCTGGCTGCCCCCCCAAACCCAGAAGATGGTCGAGGAAGAGCACAAAGTGGCCGTGCTGCGGCCCCCTTACGCCGCCCCCATGCAGTCCGCCGTGATCAACATCTGCAGCGGTGACACCTCCGTGCCTGACCACATCATCTGGTCCCTCTTCAACACGCTCTTCCTCAACTGGTGCTGCCTGGGCTTCATGGCCTACGCCTACTCGGTGAAGTCTAGGGACCGGAAGATGGTGGGTGACATGATTGGGGCCCAGAGCTACGGGTCCACTGCCAGGTGCCTGAACATCTGTGCCCTGGTCGTCGGCCTCTTTCTGACCATCGGGCTCATCGTTCTTATCGCCACGGGCACAGTGATGAGCTCACACGCCCTGTCACAGATGATGAGACGTAATGGCAACTAGTTGCTGCATGATGCTGTGTCCCGAGCCCTTAGCCCTATGTCTAGTCTGTTGGCCCTCTACCCTCTGTTCTCAGTGGTTTTTCCACATGTACCTCACAATAAACCATGTCTGTGAAAAAAAAAAAAAGAATTCTTCTTTTATGGACTCACTATGTTTCCTGTACTTAAAACATGTTATAGCTTTGTGTAGCCTGTCAGGTATTGTAAGAATTATAGCCCACCTGCACATAATGCATAATTAATGTTGTTAGAAGAAATTAGGATAAATATCACTTAGCAATGGGATCCTTGAAGCACCCAGTAACCAGGCACCATTGCTATCACATTCCCTTAGCTTCCTAATAAGCCAGCTTTTCTCCTCTGTTCAACTCGGACTGCTTCTTAATTGGGCTCATTGTCCAGGGCACAGACCCAACATTTGGGGATAACCAGACTAAGTTGGGGTTGGAATGAAGGCTTGGCATCTGCTTCCAAAAGTCAGCCCTTCAAAACCTTTGACTCGCGGGTGCTCTGATTTCACCCCACGGTGCGTGGGACCATCACGGTGCCCTTACTCAAGGGCAGCTAACAACAAAATTACAGGCGACCTATGTTAGTTTTTTCTCTAAGCCATGATTGTGAAGACCAATCAAAATGTTTTAGGATGGTGACGAAGTCAGGTCCTCGTTTCAGGGAGGGCCAGGTGGCAACTGTGGGAAGAAAATACGTCCAGAAGGAAAGAATTGGACAATCTGGCTAGGCTTGATCTTTCTTCCTCCTTCAAAGACTCCCTCTTCTCTGCCTTTTCAGTTTATGGCAGGGGCTCTCTTGCAAGCGCTGCTTGCTCTCCCAGGTGTGCTGCACTCTGGCGCCCCCTGGTGGCCGGCTGTAGGGATTTGGCTTTGGCGGATGTTCCTACTCTTGCCCCACCATTTGCAAACATGCCCTCGCACTGAGACGTTTGGGGAACTCCTGAGAGGAGACAAGTAAAGATGATTCGTCCTTGAAGCAGCTACAGAAATCTAACCCATGTTGCCCTTTCAGAAATTAATATCTTGGGCTCTTCCCAGGAAAACCCCTCTACCTTTGGGAAATGCTCATGAGGATGAGGTAGGGGTAGGAGGAAAGAAGGGATAAGAAGGTGGACATTCTGGAGAACATGCAAGAGAGATTTGGGGGAGTGTTGAATCCTTTCATGGGGAAGGAGGCATTGTAGAAGGTACAAGAAACGAGCTGAGGTGTGCCTCTGCTCCAGCCCTGGCGCTGCATCTACAGTTTTTTTTTTTATGTACTCAATGTGTTTCCTGTACTTAAAGCATGGTGGATCACCACTGCCATCAGCCCTTTCAAGCCTCACACAGCACTTACCGTTGGGTGTGATTATCGGTGTTTCACAGGTGAGACATCTGAGTCCCTGAAGGAGGATGTGGTTGACCACAGTCCCCATACAGCCTCCATCACAAAGACCCACAGAACAAGTCCCTGCCTTCAAAGGATGGAAAACACCAGAGTAAGCAAGATGCATTCGACAGATAGAGATCATTCGACAGAGACCGAAACAGGGTGGTTTCTCAAATAGTTTGAGAAGGGCAGAGAGAGACCATGCAGACAGGGTGTAAAGAAGTTGGTTGAGGAGCTGACATTGAAAGTGAGCCCCGAGAAGGAGCCAGCCATAGGGAGGGGGGCCAACAAGCACACAAGTCTTGAGATAACAGGGCGGCTGGTGGGAGCAAACCGCTGAGTATGGTTCTTCAAAGTCTTTGCAGGTCCCACCAGATGATTGGGTGTTGTTGTCGTGTGACATCAAGTTGGTTCCAACGCATAGCGACCCTGTGCACAATAGGACAAAGCACGCCTGGCCCTGGCCCAACCTCGTAGTTGTTAGTAGGTTTGTTCCCACTGTTGCAGCCACCATGCCCACTCATCTTGTCTAGCACCTTCTTCTTTTTTTGCTGCCCCTAACTTGACCAAGCATGATGTCCTTCTCCAGGGACTGGTCTCGCCTGATAACATGTCCAAGTACATGAGATGAAGTCTCACCATCCTTGCCTTTAAAAAGCCTTCTGGCTATACTTCTTCCAAAAAGGATCTGTTTGTCCTTTTGGCAGTCCACGGTGATTTCAATACTCTTGGCCACCACCATCATGCAAATGCATCGATCTGTGTCCAGTTTTCACCTGCATAGGAGGCAATGGAAGAAGCCATGGCTTGGGTCAGGTGCACCTCAGTCCTCAAAGGAACTCTTGCTTTCAACTCTTTAAAGAGGTCTCATGCAGCAGACTCACCCAATGCATTGCTTTCTTGACTGCTGAGTCCATGAGCATCCGTTGTGCATCCACGCAAGATGAAATCCTTGAGGACTTTCATCTTTTCACTGTTTATCATGATATGACCTATTGGTCCAGTTGTGAGGATATTTGTCTTCTTTACATGGAGTTGTACTCCATACTGAAGGCTGCGCTCCTTGATCTTCATCAGCAGGTGCTTCAGGTCCTCCTCATTTCCAGCAAGCAGGTTATGTCACCTGCATATTTCAGGTTGTTAATAAGCCTTCCTCCAATCCTGATGCCTAACTCTTCATGTACTTCAGCTTCTCTAATTATTTACTCAACATACAAATTGAATAAGTGTGGCAAGAGGATACAACCCTGGCACATACCTTTCCTGGTTTTAAACTATGTGGTATCCCCTTGTTCTGTTGGCACCACTGCCCAGGTTCTACGTGAACACAATGTAGCGTTCTGGAATTCCCATTCTTTTCCAGACTATCCATAGTTTGTTATGATTCACACAATCAACTGCCTTGCATATTCAATAAAAATGCTAAGAAACATCTTTCTGGTATTCTCTGCTTTCAGGCCATCTGACACCAGCAATGATTTCCCTTATTCTACATCCTCTTCTGAGTCTGGCCTGAACTTCTGGCAGCTCCCTACCAATGTACTGCTGCAACCACTGTTGGATGATCTTCAGCAAAGTTTCACTTGCATGTAGTATTAAGATATTTATTGTTCTATCATGTAAGCATTCTGTTGGGTCACCGTTCCTTGGAATGGATAAAATACGGATCTCTTCCAGTCAGTTGGCCAAGTAGCTGTCTTCAGAATTTCCTGGCATAGACCAGTGAGTGCTTCCAATGCGTTATCATTTCAGTGAATTCCATCAACTGCTGCAGTCTTGTTTTTGACTGATGTCTTCACGTGCAGCTTGGACTTGTTCCCTCAGTACCATTGGTTCATACTCATATTACCTCTGGAAAGGGTTGAATGTTGACTAGTTCTTTTTGGTAGAATGAGTTTACGTATTCTTTCCTTTTCTTTTTTTGGATGCTTCTTGCATCATTCAATATTTTGCCCACAGAATCTTTCAATATTGCAACTTGAGGCTTGATTTTTCTTCTTTGGGTCTTTCCGTTTATGATGTGCTGAGCTTGGTCTTCCTTTTTTGGTTTTCTCCTTCTATGTCTTTGCACATTCCATTGTAAGACCTTACTTCATCGTCTTGAGCTGTCCTCTGAAAAGTTTGGTTCAGCCCTTTGATGTCATCATTTCTTCCAGGTGCCTTAGCTACCCTATGATCAAGAGCAAGTCTCAGAGCCTGTTCTGAAATCCCCTTTTATCTTTTCCTTCTTTCCCATCTTTTAAGGACTTTTTGCTTTCTTCATGAATTGCGTTCTTGATGTCTTCCCACAGTTCATCACGTCTTATAAGTGTTCAATGTGTCAAATCTCTTCTTGAGATGTTCTAGAAATTCAGGGGTGATACACTTGCCGTTGCATTTTGGCACTTGTGGTTTGTTTTAATTTTCTTCAGCTTCAACCTGAAGTTACATATGAGCGATTGATCTGTTCCACGGTCAGCCCCTGGTCCATCATCCCTTTCCACAGATGTAGTCAACCTAATTCCTGTGTGTCCCATCTGAAAAATTCCATGTGTATCGTCATAGTTGGTGTTGTTGGAAAAAGTTATTTTTCTCAACTGGAAAACACTCCTAAAGGCCAAAAAACAGTCCTTGAACTAATTACAGACTTTTCTTTGTTGTTGTTGTTATTGTTTTGTCGTTGGCTTTTTGTTGTTGATGATGTTTTGTTTTCTTTTGTTGGTTGGTTTTACTCTGTCTTGTTTTTTGCATGTTATTATCTCTGCAGGTCTATCTAAATAAGATAGGCTGGATGTACAATCCGGAGGAGAAAACAACGGGACCGACAGTTC